AGAAAAATATGCAGAGACTCAAAATCAGAAATGAAAGAGAAGACATTACAACTGATACTACAGAAATACAAAGGGTTACTTAAAAACTATTATGAACAAGTACATGCCAACAAATTGGATACCCTAAAAACTGGATAAATTCCTAGACGTATGCAACCTGCAGGATTGAATCAGGAACCAGAACAGACCGACATCAAGTAAGGAGATTAAATCAGTGATAAGTCTACCAGCAGAGAAAAGCCCTGGACATGACAACATCACTGCTGAATTTGATGAAACATGTAAAGAGTTAATACCAGTTCTTCTCTATCTCTTTCAAAAAACTGAAGTAGAGGAAATACTCCCAAACACATTCACAGTAATGGCCAGCATTATCGGGAGCCCACTGCCCAACAAGACCACTACAAAATAAGAAAAAAAAAAAAATTACAAACCAATATCCCTGATGAACATATATGCAAATATACTCAATACAATACTAGCAAATTGAATTCAACAGCACATTTTAAAAAACCATTTACCATGATCAAGTGGGATTTATCACAGGGATACAAAGATGGTTCAGCTTACACAAATCTATAAATGTGTGATAAACCATATTAACAGAATGAAAAACAAAAACCATCTCATCTCAATAGATGCAGAGAAAGCATTTGACAAAATTTAACATTCCTTCATGATTAAAAACTCTCAAAAAATAGGTAGAGCATCAACAGATGATTCAGTCTTTAAAAACAGAAATCCTGTTGTTTTCGAGGTGGATGAACCTGGAAGGCATTATGTTAAGTGAAATAAGCCAGGCGCAGAAAGACAAACACTGCATGATCTCACTTACATGTGGAATCTAAAAAAGTCGAACTCATAAAATCAGAGAGTAGAATGGTGGTTCTCAGGGGCTGGGGGAGGAGATGGGAGGTGGGAGTGGTATTAGGTGTTTGTCAAGGGACACAAAATTTCAGTTAAACAGGAGGAATAAATTCAGATCTCCTGTATTGTGTGGTGACTACAGTTAATAATAATGTATACTTGATAATTGATAAGAGAGTAGATTTAAGTGTTCTCATGACACACACAAATAAGTAATAGTTATGCTAATTAGCTCGAGTTAACCATTTCACAATGTGTGCATATATCAAAACATCATGTTGTACATAATATATACCATTTTTATTTTTCAACTAAAAAATCATTGTAAAAACAAGTGTTTGATGCTCATCTCAAACTATAAAAAGCCTGCAATGCAAAGGGTTTCTGTGGTGTAGCAGTTACCACGGTGCCTAACACGCGGAAGGTCGCCTGTTTGAAACCCAACGGAAACAACAGATTTCTTTTGTCTCCCAGAATCCGACCAGGAGTGGCCGCCTCTTCCTGGGAGTCCAGAGCTGTAAGGAACAGTGAAAATCTTGCCTCTTTTTTTTTAAAAAAAGATCATCATCCTGGATAGCTGTGCCAAATTAGCAGGCCGCTCTGGGCGGGCGCTCCCCAGCTGGGACGTGCTCTCTTCTCTCCCTGAAAGTCTGGAACGTGAAATCTTACAGAACCAGATTTCCAGTGTGCACTTTCTCCTGGTTACGTTTTTTCCCTCTCCCTCGCAGAGGAATAGCCGTTGCGCTCTTGCCCTGGCCATTTTTGAGTAGACTCGCCTTAAGTCGAGTCCCTTAACAGTGGAGACATTTCTTATGTTCTGAGCCTCTAAAAGTGGTGGGTAGTCGCGGCACACCTACTCCTGCATAAAGGAAAGGACAGAAAGGCTTGGGTCAGATGAGGAATTAGCTCAAGTGGTAGAGTGCTCGCTTAGCATGTAAGACGGGTGAGATCGATGCTCACCTTCTCCAGGTTGTTCTTTATAGACATGGGGTCACAGGTGACTAACAGCTTCAGGTTTAGTGACCTGTCAAAAATGTCAGCCACTTGACTGCTCCACTGGCTAAAGACCCGTGGGCATAAAGAAACGGTGCTAGTAATGGCCTCTAAAACGAGCAATACACAAAACCCATTTTGTAAGTTGTTTTCTCTTTATTAAAAGGAGCAAAGAGATCCCAAGAGGGTGGGACATACTCGATTGTTCCTTTTCTCTCCTTTCTGCAGCTTGACCCAAAATGCAGCGCAGTCCTGGAAACCGCAGGGCAGAGCAGGATAAATAAAACCCAGCTTTCTTTCTGGTCAGGGCACTGTAAAGTGAAGTTCCAAGTAAAGGTAAAGTCCTGCCCAGAGTGTGGAAAGCAACCCGTAAGTGGCTTGTGAACCCGCCGATTGCACCTCTGAGTTTAGAATATGTAGCTGTAAGGAGCAAAACCAAATACAGAAAGCTTATTTTTCCTAAATTAAAAATTGTTTTGTGATTCTGCTTATATAAGGTATCTTGAATAGGCAAATTCATGTAGATAGAAAGAATATAAGTTTTTGGGGAGAAGGAAATGTAAAGTTATTGTTTAATGAGTACAGAGTTTCTATTTGATGATGATGAGAAAGTTCTGGAAATGGGTAGTGGTGATGGTTGTTCACATTGTAAATGTACTTAGTGCCGCTAAATTGAACACTTAAAATCTTAAATGTAAAATGTGTTATGTATATTTTACCACAATGAGAAAATACAAACCCTTGTTCTTTCTTTAATTTTAGCACATAGTCTCATCATCCGTTTTTCTCCACACCAGCTCATCTATTCATTCTTTTATTCATTTGACAAATACTTATAAATGTCTAGATTTATTGTTCCATTCATCAGACATTAATTCAGGACCTCTTCTGTGTCACACAGTTTCAAGACTTCTCCCTCAAATGTGTACACCAATATCTTGACAAATACCATAGATCTTTCCTGCACAGCCTGTCCAGAATCGTTCTCTTATTTTTCATTCATGTATCTCTGTCCATTCTACCGTGTTTATGGAGAATGTAGTCTGCACCACAAAGTATAATGGTCACTGGAGCTAAGGAAAGACTCATATTGTTTACTTCAGAAGCTGACAAAATAAATGTAAAGAAACCTCAATTCTTTCATCTCTTTGTAACTGCTTTCCATTTCTCTTCAGTTGCAGTTTTCAGTTTTCCTATTCCCAAGCTCTTTGACATTAAACTTGAACACCTTTTTCTTAAATGTTAATTTGATTATATAAGCTGACTGGAAATTTTTCCAAGGGTTCTTAAGTCTCGGTGTTTTCTCAGTCATTATCATCATGTGCACAGGCATTTCAATCACTACTTCCTTTCACGTCTTTCCTTTCATTTTATAAACAGGCACACATACAGGCAGGCACACATGCACTTGTGCACTATACATCCCAAGTGAACAGGCATGTTTTCTTAGACAGGAATTTCTACATCCATCCCTGTTCCTTCCCACTCATGTGCATTCTTCCTCATCTGCATCCTCCAAGGTTCATATTTATCCTTCTACTACAAGCTGGTCTTTTAATCCCCATGGTTCTTGTCTGTAATAGTTTTGTGATTTTTGCTGTTTTCTTCTATGGTGTGAATATGTGAGTTCTACATGATATACCTTAAAAAGAATTGAATATATGTGTATGTATATGTGTGTATATATGTATATGTATATGTGTGTATATTCAGATCTGTAGCTTAGATTTAGGAAGTCTGAGGGTCTCCATAGTGTAGAGATTACCTCACTTGCCTAACACGAGATGAGGCCCGCAGATATAAAACAGATGTTATATAATTATAAAGTGTCTATTCACTGAAGGGATGCAACTGTCCTAAATATGTCTGTTTCTGGCCACAGAGCTTTAAAACTTATAAACAAAATGGATAAAACAGAAAGAAAATAGAAAAATCCAATTACAGTTGCAGACGTTAACACTCCTCTCTCAGTAATTAATATTCAGTAGAAAACAAATCAGCAAACAGGGAACTGAACAACACCATCCACCAAAGGATCTAATAGACTTTATAAAGCAAAATCACAATTTATGTAGAAAGAAGAGCCAAAAATTCAAAGAAAAGCAAGATCATATTATGACTAGGAAATCATGAATGGTCAGAGTAGAGAAAAGTGACATTATTGAAACTGATATTTCTGAAACAGTTACTGAAATAAATGACAAGAAAACTGACAGTGGTGAATCTGTAAGTGACTCTTTTCTTGTCCGTTTTTATCCTGCTTTTTCTTGAGGTCTGGCCTGGCCAAATTTCTTTTGAACTTCCTGAGCCTATTACAGTGTCTAGCACAGAGCATCTCTTGAGTGAATATCTACTGAACGAGTAGAATGGAATTGATAGATTCGAAAGAGATGTGCAAGAATATTGTTCAGTAGTTGGCAAACCATTGAATGTGATGTTTGAAGGAGGACAATGAGTCAAAGTTCACTTGGAAGTCTAGACCCAGGAGGAGGTTGAGAATTAGATATTTGGTGTATGAATGAATAACTACTGTGGAGAAAAACAGGCAGAGAGATCATGAGCAGGAACAGAGAAAAAAACTCACATTTTGGAATCTAAAAAAAAAAAATCTTCTTCTCAGTTCAGGCTTTGCCACCTAGCAGCTCTGGCACCTTAGAAACAATAATTATCTGAGCCTCCACTACATCCAGAAAATGCACATTAGACGGCTGGGCGTGGTGGCTCACACTTATAATCCCAGCACTTTGGGAGGCTGAGGCAGGTGGATCACAAGGCCAGGCATTCAAGACCAGCCTGGCCAACATGGTGAAACCCTATCTCTACTAAAAATACAAAAATTAGCCAGTCATGGTGGCAGGCACCTATAATCCCAGCTACTTAGGAGGCTGAGGCAGGAGAGTCACTGGAACCTGGGAGGCAGAGATTGCAGTGAGCCGAGATCACACCACTGCACTCCAACCCTGGGTGATAGTACAAGACTCTGTCTCAAAGAAAAAAAAAAAAACAAAGAAAATGCACATTAGGATACATCATTTTGTCAGTGAAATTCAATTGGACTATGTAAATGCAATAAATTTCATAAATAGCACACAAGAAAAAACAAGGAGGTTACTATCATAAGTGTTTTGTGTGTTTTGTAGATGCAGTGTCTCCAGTCATGTAGATGCAAGTGGAGATATAAAGGGAAGACAGTAGTATGGTCAAGAGACATGTTTGATGACTATTTCTTCATTCATTTACGTATTCAATTCATCAGTGAACTATCATAAACTGAGAATCTCCTGTCTCTTTTCAACAAAGAAGACCATGGAAGGGGTAAGAGTGACTAAGGTCTCTGAGGGAAGGAAAAGCCATATCATTGGGCCGCAAGAGGGAAAAAGCAACAAAAGACAGGTACAATTGATCCTGGTAACGCAGAACCCAGATGGTCCTTTGAATACTGGAAAGGCGTAGACTTCTCTGGTCTTGGGTGTGAATCTTCCTAGTGCAGCATTGATTGATGCGGAGTAGTTTCCAAGTAGGATTGATTGTGGTTTTTGAAAGCTGAAACCATAAAGCAGGTGGGAAATAAACTTCGGTAAGGTGGATGTTGGCCAGGGTTAAGCTGGAGCCCTCTTGGTGCAGCCAGCAGCCTGTCAATCTCATAATCTGAAGATCCTGGGTTAGAACTTCAGAGAGGGTACTGCTTTTGTCATAGAAGTTAGATGCACTAAATATCAGATCAGAACATAAATGCTGTCAGATAAGGATTTGAAGACTGACTCAGTATTTCAGAAAATGGAAAAATTATTTAAGCTTTGTTGTTTTTTCGACTTTCCAGTGGTTTGAGTAAAATGAGTGGTGAAAACAGAAGAGTAAATTGAGTAGATTACATCAGAAACTATATGCTATGCCATGTAATTTGTCTTTCTAGCTGACAGAAGAAGCAGGGGAAATTTCTCTTTCAACTTCCTGTTCTCAGGGTCACCCAACAGTAATTATTGGGTGAGTGGGTGAAGTAGTTTATTCTTTTAATCATCCAACAAATATTTCTTGAATGCATATCTTGTTAAGAGGCTGTTTTGGGTTAAGAGTGAATACAATGCAAATATTCCTACCTTTGTGAAACTGCATCCCAGCTGGGAGGAGTGGGGAGAAATAGGAAACGAACAAAAATATGTAAGAAGTGGTGTGACAATGTCTTCTGTGAGGGAGTCACTAGGCAGTAAAGCGTTTGGGAATGTGGAAGTGGCACATTCACCTTTCAGGAGGACAATCAGGAACTTTTGTCTCCTTGACAACTTTAGCCTCGCCTTCTTCTAGTCATCTTGCTAGGACCTTTGTGCCCATGTTTTTCTAACGCTGTCATTAAAGTACTTTTACCTACCAAGGCAACTGGGGGTTATGAGAGCTTTTTGCACAGAAGGCTAATTGGCTTCGTTGGAAAACTGATGATACATGAGGACTGACTGGGGTGGTAAATTCCTCACGTTTCTTCAAACGAAAAATGAGGACTGTGGGATTCTCTGGCTGAATCTCAACACCTAGAGATGGGTGTGGGCAATAGGAAGTGTTCAGTAAGTATTAGCTACTGCTTTGGTTGCCTTCTCCCTGTGGAAAGCTGGCCTCTCAAGCTGAATTTGTATCATAGGCATTAATGAGGGGCTTGACTGTATCAATATCTGATGAGAGATTTTGGTGCAGTTCTGCTGTCATGACTGATTTGCTCATTTGGTAGGTAGCATCCAACTTCTTGTGAACATAAAAATAAAATAAAATAGATTATGGAGGAATAGAATACAGATATATAGTAACGTATTAGTAAGGTATTACTATAAAGTATGGATTCGGATAAAAGAGTCTAAGAATTTGTGCATGATTATTTTAAATTTCTTTTGAATCTTTTTTTTCTTTTTACCTGTTTTTCAAGTCTCCAGTTTTTGTTACCCTTCTCCCAACAGGTCAGAGGGATAGCTAATGGTCAGAAGAAATTATCCAGCAACTACCATAGCACCGTCTCCTACCTGCAGCTGCCTCTTTTTATTCAGCCTCTATGGGAAGTAGCAGCACCATCCACTTCTCAGAGAGCAAGGTCTAGACTAACTCAGCTAACCCCATGTGCTAATCCGAGCTAACTCCAGTTACCCTAGTGGATTTAAAGGTTGAAGTTAGAAACCAGCAGAGTTCTCTTCCTGCAAAGAATAGGCTTCCCTCTAAGGTTTCACATAGATACTGCTGAGGAAAGAGCCCTCAATGGCTTGAAAAACTGGATGCTCTTTGGGCAAAGCAGGAAGCCCTGCTATGGAAGAGCACCATTTGAGCATAAATCAGGGTCTCAGTACAAAGAGCATGCTCAGGAGGTCAAGATCGTTAAGCAGAGAATCTGATCAGATTATCCGTGGTGGAGAGAAACAATCTTATTGGGAGAAGAATGACAATAATTGAGGACTTGGAATAAAGGCTAAAAATGATTCAAAGAGAATGCAAAAAGAATCAGGCACAAATCCTTTACTACATTCTGTTGTATGAATCTCACCTTACTATGTGTTTGTATTCTGTTCCTCAACAATCTTTATTTTTATTTTATTTTTATGTTCACAGAGACTTGTTGGTGCCAACTAAATGAGCAAAACAGCGGTGACTAAAAAAACCACCACTGCACTAGAAAAACAAAACTAAACTAAAACTGCACCAAAGAAGTTTCCCATCGGCTCTTGAGAACAGGTTCCTTAAAGGTGAACAATATGCCACATACAAGGACTTTTTCAGCACCATGCATTAGCAATTGAACTGGATGTTTACTATTTTTTATATAAGTTGGTTGATACGGCTTTTCAGCTTCCCTCAGTATCATTATCCAAATTTTGTAGATGACACTGAAGGTCAGAGGAGTTCAACCATTTTCCTCAAATCATGTAGCTTTAAATAGGAAAACCAGATAGGAAAAGCAGATTTCTTTTTAAATTAAAAAACAAAAACACGAGCTCTCACTTTACCCTAGCACATAGTCTCCCCATCTGTTTTCTCCACACCAGGGCATTCATGTAACATTCATTCACATAACAAATACAGATCAATGAGTGGATTCATTCATCAGATATGAATTCAGAATCTCCTTTGTGTCTACCACAGTAGGCTCAGGACTTCCCAGTGTCTTTGTCTCCTCTCCATGAAATCTCTCCACCCAATGTCTTGACAAATACTATAGATCCTTCCTGCACAACATCTCCAGAATTATTTTCTTCCTTTTCACTCATCTCTGTCTTCATCCATGCTACAGTGTTTCTGGAGGATGCATTCTGCACTATGAAGTGTGATGGACACTGGCGCTGAAGAAACACTCCTGCTGTCCACCTCAGGAGCTAACACAATAAATATGGATAAACCGCAATCCTTTAATGTCTTTATGACTTCTTTCCCTTTCTCTCCAGGTACTGTTTTCTCATGTTCAAACTCTGACAGTCAAAACTAAACACCTTTCTCTAATATGTTGCTTTAATTATTTAAGTTTTTTGTCTGGGATTTTCTCAGTTACTCTTGAGTTTTCATAATACTCTCCCAGCTTATCTCCAAGTGGCCAGGCTTTTCATTCACTGCCTCCTCCATGTGTATTTCACACACACACATAGCCTGGTTTTCTCCACCCTATGTCCACTGCTTCTCTGCATAGCTCAATTTTGATTCTTACGCTCTGTTATTTTACAGATTCTTACACTCTGATGTGATCTTGTCTCTTTTTCTTTACGGCTCTACTCTGCAATTCTGTTGTTGTTGTTCTGACATATAGTTGGACCTGTAACTGGTACATGGCACACCTTAGCAAGGAGGCAACCCACATCTCAGATGTTAGTAAAGGAAGCACCCTCCAGGCGTTTCCTAGTGTAGCGGTCAGCACGCTGGCCTCATTCCTGAAAGGGCCTAGTTGTGAAAACAGCAGGAGCTTTTTGCCTTCAAGAAATCTGCACCATCTCACGACTCGGACAGTCTCAGCTACAAGGAGGAAGTGATAATGCCATCCCACTTTTATAAACACACACACACACACACACACACACACACACACTCATTTATTCATTTTTGATTATTTAATTTTTTCCTTTAATCTGTGACACGTTAGCCAGGCAGGCCTAGACAGGTCCTGCTTTGCCGGGACGTGCCTTTTTCTGTCCTGGAATACCCTAAACTTGACATTTTGGCAGTGCAAGTTTTCCCTTTGTGAATTTCTCCTTGTTCCCTTTTCTCTTGCTTCCTGGCAGAGAATGCGTAGCCACTGTGCTCTTGCCCTGGGAAATCAATGAGAAGATCTGCCCTTAGAGGAGCCCCGCTTTCAAAGCACTGAAGGCCCTGAAATCACATGTGTTCTCTGCCACCCACTAAGGACAAACAAAGCTGCTCCAACAAGGGGAATTAGCTCAAGTGGTAGAGCGCTTGCTTAGCATGCAAGAGGTAGTGGGATCGATGCCCACATTCTCCAGACTTTATTATTTGGACCTCAGGTCTCTAAACCCGAGTCCGTGTCTGAGCACAGAATGCTGCTTTGGCTCAAGATGTAGGGACAGCAACAATACAGGGCTGGTGACGGCTCTCTACTGGCATTCAGGATAGCATAGATCTACCATGTAATTATGTTCTGTTTCTTCAGGGAGCTGTGAAGCCAAGGGACACAAACAATTGCCCTTTTCTCCCTGTTTCTGCCTGCAGCTTGGTCCTAAATGTGAGACGTTCGTGAAAAGTACAAGGAAGAGCCACCTGGGTAAGTACAGCCCCGGCTTTCTGGTCAGGGGACTGAAACCAGGATGTGTCAAGTAACTAGAATGTGCCTGGACAGATACTGTAGAAAACAAACCCATAAAGTTGTTTGTGAAACTGTGGCTGCCCCTGCCAGCTGTGAATAAGTGACTCTAACCCCAACAATTTACCTAGAAAGAGCCTGAGAACTGAACTGAGCAAGGCCCGCTTTCCAGTCCTCACTGATCACTGGGTCACACACACTCCGGAGATCTCTGAACAGCCCTGTAAACGCCTTGCAAGTAGAATTATCTTTGTAACAACACCACATGGAAGGCTGGCTGGTACTTGGAACTTGAATACAAGGCAATTGTGTGCCTGCAAAAACAAAAACAGCAATACTATCCTTAAGATTTCAACAAGACACAGTGTCTCCTCACATGATATGAAGAAGTCCAGGTTACAGCCCCGAAATATTCAGCATAAGAAACAACAGGGAGATTGTACTTCACTTGGCAAAGAGAACCCTCAAGTAACATTACTGAAAGGACACAATGTCAAAATCATCTGACACATGTGTTAAAGCAATTGTTATAACAATGCTCCTAGAATTAGGGGATAACATTCTTGAAGTGAATGAAAAGGTGGAAAGTCTCAGAAAATACATGGAATATGTAAACACCAATTTTAAACTTAACAGTTAAAAAAATGTATTAATCAAAGTATTAGGGCAAATAAAAAGCTTAACTGGATGATCTGAATAACAGAATGCAGATGACTAGAAAAAAAGTCAACAAACTTGAAAAAGAAGAATACCTACAAAATCTGAACTATATGGAGAATGGAGTATTTCTGTAAATAAACAGAGCCTCAGAGACAAAAAATAACAAATCTAACATTCCCATTATTGTAATCTGGAAAGAAGAGGACAAAGAGATCTTTGTGACAGAAAACTCTGAAGAATTAATGGCTGAAAATGAATCAAATTTGTCAAAAATATAAACGAGATTATTAAAGTTCAGCAAATCTCAAAGAGGATAAACCCAAAGAAACCCATAGCAAGTCATATCATAATCAAACTGCTGAAAACTAAGAAAATACAAAACAATTTTGAAAGCAGCCAAAAGAAAACGAAAGCAAAACTACCATATGAATGACTGTAGATTTCTCATCAGGAATCATAGGGGCCAGGAAAAAATGTCATAACATTCAGTAAGTACCAAAGGAAAAAGACCTATCAACCCAGAATTCTATGTGGAGTAAAGTATCTTTCAGACATAAAGGCAAATAAATGCATTCTCATTGGAAGGTAAATGAATACATTCTCATTCCTAGCAAGACTGCTAGAAAAGAATTAGCAAAAATTTGAGATAAGAAAAGTGATACCAGAAGGAAACGTAGAACATCATCAATGAAGGAACAAAAGCAGAAATGGAAAATGTCTGGGTAGACGTAACAGACTATTATTCTTCTCTTGAGTTCCTTAAGGTATGTTTGATGATTGAAAGCAAGAATTGTAACTTTTTCTGATGCAGTTGTCATTGTACCTAGATGTACTATACACATAACATCAAAGGGTGAGGGTAAAGGGCCTAACTCCTGATGAAGTTTCTATAATCAACTTGAATGGTAAAATATTGATTCTAAGTATATGGTAATCTCTAGACCACTTACTAACCAGATTTTAATAAACCAAAACAAGATAGAAAGAGGAACATAGGAGAATTAAAACAAAGGGAACAAAGATTAATAAATTATTAAATAGATCTACTGATCTATCTAAAAACGTATCTATAATTACATTATATGTAAATGATTTAAACACATTAATTAATAACTAGAGATCATCAGAATGTATTAAAAATAAATATGCTGACTATAAGAAAGTTACCTGCTTATACATAAGGTATATATAAGAATAAAAGTCATATAGTAGATTGAAAGATGCCTCACACAAGCATTCACCAAAGAAAGCTGTGGCGTATATATCAAAATCAGACAGTCGATTTGAAAGCAGAGACACTTTCCAGGAATAATGAGGGCTGCTACATGATTATGATTGTCCATTTTCCAGGGAAATACTCTACCAAATGTATATGAGGACACAGAGCTTCAGAACTCTTATGAAAAATTGGATAAGCCAGGTAAAAATAGAAAAATCCAAATATAGTTGCAGGCATTAACACTCCTCTCTCAGTTATTGGTAGACCTAGTACACAACAAATCAGCAAACATATTGGAGAATTGACAACACCAGCCTCCAATGGATCTAATCAACTTCACAACACAAAATAAAAATTTAGGCAGAAAGCAAAGACAGAAATTAAAAGAAAGTAAAATCATATTATAACCAGGAAATTGAGTGTGGTCCAGCATATAGAAGAGTGCTATTATTGAAAGAAAGAGTTATTTAGTTATTTTGAAACATGTTTGAAGGAGTTACTTAGCTGGAAATGACAGAAAGACAGAAAACGGTGAATCTGGAGGTGTATCTTCTCTCGTCCATATTTATCTTGTCTTCTTTTGCTGTCTAGGGTGTCTATACTTCCTCTGAATTACCTGATCCTACTACAGTGTCTGGCACAAAGCATCTCCCTAGTGAATATGTACTGTGAGTGGAAAGTAATTGGTAGATTCAGAAGAGTCATGCAAGAATAATGTTCATTATCTGGCAAATCATCAAATGTGTTTGAAGCAGGACAATGAGTCAAAGTTGACTTCAAAGGTAAGCCCAAGGACAGATGTGGTGGCTCACTTCTGTAGTCCCGGTACTTTGAGAGGCCGAGGTGGTCAGATCCCTTGATAGTAGGTGTTTGAGACCAGCCTTGGCAACATGGTGAAACCCTGTCTCTACAAAAAAAAAAAAAAAATACAAAAATTGTCCAGGTATATGGTATGCATCTGTAGTCCCAGCTACTCAGGAGGCTGAGGTGGGAGGATCGCTTAAAACTGGGAAGTGGAGGTTGCAGTGAACAGAGATCGCGCCAGTGTCTGGGCAACAAAGTAAGACCCTGTCTTAAAATAAAATAAAATAAAACAAAACATAAAAGTTAAGCCCAGGGCCAGGCGCGGTGGCTCACGCCTGTAATCCCAGCACTTTGGGACGCCGAGGCGGGTGGATCACGAGGTCAAGAGATTGAGACCATCCTGGTCAACATGGTGAAACCCTGTCTCTACTAAAAATACAAAACATTAGCTGGGCATGGTGGCGCGTGCCTGTAATCCCAGCTACTGAGGAGGTTGAGGCAGGAGAATTGCCTGAACCCAGGAAGCTGAGGTTGCGGTGAGCCGAGATCGCGCCATTGCACTCCAGCCTGGGTAACAACAATGAGACTCCGTCTCCCTCAAAAAAAAAAAAAAAAAAAAAAAATTAGCTGGGCATGGTGGCGCGTGCCTGTAATCCCAGCTGCTCAGGAGGCTGAGGCAGGAGAATTGCCTGAACCCAGGAGGCGGAGGTTGCGGTGAGCCAAGATCGCGCCATTGCTCTCCAGCCTGGGTAACAAGAGCAAAAACTCCGTCTCAAAAAAAAAAAAAAAAAAAGTTAAGCCCAGGCCAGGGATCACGCCTGTAATCCCATCACTTTGAGAGGCTAAGGCAGGCGGATAACCTAAGGTCATATGTTTGAGACCAGCTTGGCCAACATGGCGAAACTCCATCTCTACTAAAAATACAAAAATTAGTGAGGCGTGGTGGCAGGCACTTGTCGTCCCAGCTACTCAAGAGCCTGAGGCAGGAGAATCACTTGAACCCGGGATGTGCAGGTTGCAGTGAACCGAGATGGCACCACTGCACTCCAGCCTGGGTGACAGAGCGTGACTTCATTTCAAAAAAAAAAAAAAGTTAAGCTCAAAAGGTAAGTAAAGAGGAGGGCTGAAATTAGATACTTGGTGTATGAATGAATGGGCTTAAGTGCAAAGAAGGGCCATAATAACTGTGAGCTGGAGCAGACAGAAAAAAGGCACATTTAAAATCTCAAAATATCTGCTTCTCAATTTGGGCTTTCTCACTTAGCAGCTTTGGCACCTTAGAAAGAAGACTTAACTTACCTGAGCCTCTTTTACTTCTAAAAAGTGCATACATAGTTTTGTTGACAAAATTCAATCAGACTACATGAAGTAAACTCCCTAAGTCTCCTAGTATAATTTGTGGCACAAAATATTGGCGAAAAATAGGGAGGATATTATTACAAGTTCAGTTTGTGTTTTTTGTAGTGAATGTCTCCAGTGACATAGATGCAAATGGAGATACACAGTAAGAGTCATATGAATAGGAGGCACTTTTGAAGGCTATTTCTTCCTTCATTCCTTCAGTTGGTCACTCAAGAAACTATTAAGAATTGAGGATCTTCTCATTTTCTTATCAACAAAGGAGACTACAGAGAAGAGGAGTGATTAAGACCCTGAAGAAGGGAAAAGCTAGATCACTGGGCCACAGGAGGGAAAAAAAAAGGCAAGACAGGTTCAATAGTTTCTGGTCCCTCAGGCCAGAAGGTCCTAACATTATGTGAATACTGCAAACAGGTGGGCTCCACCTGTCTGGGTGGGGAGTTCTTCCAGTGCAGTGTTGGCTGATAAGGAGTGATTTCTAAGTAGCATTGATTGTGCTCTTCAAAAGCTAGGAATTGATAAAGCGGTAGTGTCTGGGAAATGAGATTTGATAATCTGGATGTCAGCTCTTGGGAACAGTTGCTCTCTAAGAGCAGCAGGCTACCTGTCAGTCTCATATTCTGAAGGTCCTGAGTTCAAACATCAGGCAAGGTCCAGCTTTTACCGCTATTTCCGTTAAGGGAAATGAAATAGGTGCAATAAATAATGGGACGCAAATGCTATGAGATAATGATTTCAAGACAGACCAAATATTAGCTTAAAATTTAAACATGAGCTTGCTTGCTTTCTCTTTTCTTTCTTTCTTTTCCTTCTTTCTTTCTTTCTTTCTCTTTCTTTCTTTCTTTCTTTCTTTTTCTATTTTCTTCTTTTGGCTTCTCAGTGGCTTGAGTACAAGGGGTGGTGAAGAGATATAAATTACACAAGAAACTACAAGCTATGTCATGTGTCTACCGCTCTAGCTGACAGGGAAGCAGGGGAAACTTTTCTTCCAATTGCCTGCTCTGAAGGTCATCCAACCATAATTACAAAGTGGGGTGGGTGAAGTGTTTCATTCTTTTAATCAGCTAACAAATATTTCTCAAGAACATATCTTGTTAAAAGACTGTTTGGGAGGCAGGCACGGTGGTGGACGCCTGTAATCCCAGCACTTTGGGAGGCCAAGGTCAGGAGTTCAAGATCAGCCTGGCCAATATGATGAAACCCCGTCTCAACTAAAAATACAAAAATTAGCCAGGCGTGGTGGTAGGTGCCTGTAGTCTCAGCCACTCAAGATGCTGAGGCAGAAGAATCACTTGAACCCAGGAGGTGGAGGTTGCATTGAGCCGAGATCGAGCCATTGCACTCCAGCCTGGGCGACAGAGCAAGACTTTGTCTCAAAAAAAAAAAAAAAAAAAGACTGTTTTCGGTTCAGCAATTTACAGTGAATAAAACACAGATATACTCACCTTTGTGATACTACATCATAGTTGGGAGGAGTGAGGAGAAACAGACAGGAAGCAAACAGGAAGAATGAACAAGAAGTTCTGTGATGATGTCTACTGGAGGAAATCATTAGGCAGTAAAGGACTTGGCAGTGTGAAGGTGGCACTTTCAGTTTTCAGAAGAATCAGGGAAGTTGTCATCTTGAAACTATCATTTAGCTTCCCTTTCTTTTAATCTTCTTTCTTTACATGCAAAATGAGGACTGCGGGGTTCTCTGGAAGGATGACAGCACCTAGCGCTGGATCTGGGCGATAGGAACTGCTCAGGAAGCATTAGCTGCTGCTCTGGTTGCTCTCTCCCTATAGAGTGCTGGCCTCTCACACTGAGCTAGCATCATATTATAGGTGCTCACTAGGAATTTGCCTGGTGAATTTACAGGTTGAGGTTAGAACCCATCAGGTTTCTCTTCCTGGAAAGAACAAGTTTCCCTCTAAAATTTCACAGAGACACTGGGTGAGGAAAGAGCCTCAAATGGCTTGAAATAACTTAGTGCTCCTTGGTCAAAGCAGGAAGCCCCACTTTGGAAGGGCACCACGGGGGCATATATGAAGGTCTCAGTACGGAGATGAGTGCTCAGGACGTCAAGATGGTTAAGCAGAGGATCTGACCAGAATGTTCATGGTGCAAAGAA